CGGTAATGGGTATATATTTTCATATATAATGGACCCATTTCAAAATGCAAAAAAATGGAGACTGATTCATGTCAAGTGTTAAAAATATTGGCTTTGATGTATGTATTGATACATACGTGATAGAGTTGTGGCATATGCTTATAGAAAAGTAATCCAGAATTTAATAGCAACTGCGTGTCTTATCAGACAGCAACCAAAAAACAAAACAAAGACCCATGTGAACAAGACTGGATTCAGAAAGTTTGGGATCTTGTAATCATTAAGAATTTCTTGCAATAAGCCAGGACACAGCAAGGGATGCAAGAGGATCACTTTATAGAGGAATGGTGTCTATAACTGCTTTCTTGGAAGAAAAGTCACTAAATTGGAAAAAAATAAGATAATATGAGTGTACTAACATTATAAAAATTGTTATATTTATTTTGCTTGTTCACATCAGTAGTAATGAGGTGAGGACAGGGGAACGGATATTTACAGTACTTATCAGTTTCTTTGTTATTTTATTGTATACATTGGTAAATTAAAACTAAAAAATAAAAAGTTCTTTTAAAAAACTATACACATATTTCACACAAAAAGTTTGAAAATGAAAGCCACATAACATGCTTTATTAAAACCAGACAAAACAAGATAGCTTTAAGAAATAGAAACATCAACAACACGTCCGTTATCTCTTTCCAGTTTTCAGAATACTTTAAAATGAGGCTGCTTTTAAAAACTAAAACAAACCCTTTTATCTTCTAGTATACAATAAATAAGTCAGACCAGTTAAAGACTAAATTTAAAAAACAGGAAAGATCAAGAGAGAATTCTAGATAGAAGGCAGAAAGGTTTTAGAGAAGGAAATGAAGACAGAGGTACAGATAATCTCAGAGTTCCTGTGAAGGACAAGAAAACAAAGCAAAGCAAAAGCAGCTGAAAAACAAGGCCACAGAAAAGCAAGTATTTCAAACACTTATAGCTGCAGTGCACAATCAGTCAGTCACCTACACGAAACCACTTAAGGTGCTGATGATATTCTTAGAAGAAAGGAATTAAATTATATAATTACATAGAGCTTGGTGCAGCAATTTTAGATTTTAAAGAAGCCTTTGTAACTAAATGGTTAAGAACTACAGAAACTGCCCAATTTATTGTAAATGTGTCTCCCACTGTAGATGCCTTCTGCACTGAACTTTGATTCCAGAGCAATGATTCCAGTCCCGGGGACTATCAATTCACATTGGGGGCTGTCACTCCAGTCCCAGAATACTTATGCTACTTCCAGGGACTGTCATTCCATTTGGGCAGCTTTCATTCCAGGGCCAGGGCTGTAGCTGGAGAAATTTTATTGGGGGGTGGGCAAATGAGTATAGTGGTGGTGAGGATATCTTTATTTACTTTGTTATAAATAAGCTATGATGTAGTGCAAAGTCTCCACAAAGGATCATTCTACAAAGAATGTGAAATTATAATCCATTTTGTTTGAAACCAAATACCCCTTCCTTTATTTACACATGATGAACAATCTTGTAAGTGCATGAAGATCCCCACCCCTATATTGTCCCACTTCTACTTTCCTGGGTTGCAGTGTGCCAAATGGGAATTCTCTCCCACCAATGTATCACCATAAAAGTATATGGGGGGGAGAGCCATGTTGGTCTGAAGCAGTAGAACAAAACTGAGTCCAGTGGCACCTTTAAGATAAGATCAACAAAGTTTTATTAGAGGTATGAGCTTTCATGTGCACACACATTTTTGTGCATGTACACAAAAGTTCATACCTTGAATAAAACTTTGTTGGTGTTAAAAGTATCACTGGACTCAAACTTTGTTTCACCATAAAAGTTTCTGTTTCTTCCTCTGAGCATGAAATAAGGCTTTGTTAACAGAGATCAAAGAAGAAGGTGCGTTTTCTTGGATGGATGTCCCCTTTGATTCACACCATTTTCCATTGAACTCATACACACACACCCTCAAGAAAAGTCTAAAACTCTGCTCTGGTTTGGCTCCACATAATGTGCTATAGGAAGCCTTAAGAACAGCAATAAGCACTCAGGTCAGATTGCAATGCTGTTGCCAACCTCCAGGTGGGGCCTGGAGATCTCCCACAATTACAAGTAATCACCAGATTAGATCAATCACTTCCCCTGGAGAAAACGGCTACTTCAGAGGATAGACTCTATGGTATTATACCTGATTAATACCATTCCCCCACCTTCCCCAGGCTCTATCTCCCAAATCTCCAGGAATTACCCAACATACAGTTGGCAACTCTGGCAAGTATGTGTACATACACACTTTTCCTTCACAGCTACAGCCTACATAGCTTACAAGGGTAGCTTTTTTGCCTGAGACAAATGGGAAGAGAAGCTGGGGAGGGTCCCCTCTACAGAGATTGACTCCCCCCTACCCAATTAAAAGAGAAAGTATTTCCAACAGCCAATTTTCATTTATTCACTTGCTTCAAAGCACATTGGACAACCAGGGGTAAAAATGCGCTTACTAAATATCCTTGCATGTAGACAAAATACTCGCGCTGACCATTAGCTTACTTAACTAAGGAAACCCACCCCAGGCCTCCCACCCGCGCCATGCTGGCCCCCAAGCCACAGCAACTCTTCCTCTCACCTGAAGCGCGGCCTCCACTTCCAATGCTCCGAGCCCCGCTCCCTTCACACCGCCACAAAGCGTTAGCAGCAAAGGATGCCTAAACCCCGGCTCGATCCGCTGAAAGCCACCGCGAGAGCCGCCGGGCAACTCAGAGATACAAACAAGCCCCTCACAACAGCCATCTTCGTCCCGATGTCACCTTTAACCTTCCACCTCTCTGCCCATGCCCTATGACACTTCCGGTCCGCTGTTGCCCGCGCAACAGTTACCAAGGAGACCGCTTCCTGCCTCTGAATTGGTTCCTATGAAAGAGGAACACCTCCTTTGCAGACCAGAGAGCTTTCTTAAAGAGGCAGGGATCCATTTTCCCTCCAGTTCCTATCTCTCAGGCCTATTCAACACGGAAGAGGCCGGCGCAAAACTGACGGCACAGGAGTGTCGTCGTCGTTGTCCCCCCCTCCCCGCTGCCCGGGTTCTAATGCCACCGCCATCCTGAGCTCCAAAGCGGGCTTGTAGAAGCACTTCTTCTGCAGCCCGTCTCGCACCTGGTGGGGGTGGTAGAAAGCCTTGAGCTGCCCCTGCTAAGCCGACACCCAGAAGAAAAGCCTCGAGCCCCCCCCCTCCTTCCCCTGCTCAGCCGACACCCAGAATGCCTGGCCCTCCTCTGGCCCGCAGACCACCACCGACGAAAAGGACAACGCACATTCCTGGTCGCCTGAAGAGTATCCTTATACCTTGACATGCCTCGCTTGAGCAGGAAGAGGGGCAGCCACGGCTTCAGCTGCACCTTCCTTCCGCCACAGCGCTTTCGCGCTCTCGGACCGAGCAGCTCTCCAAGCGGAGAGAAAACACTACCGCGTTTAGAAGTATATATCATGAATGCTGTCCGCGTTGCCATCGTAACAACCCCTGAGGCCAGGGTCAAACCCCGGCATCTTGCCCATCTTCCAGCGCCCATCTGCACAATACAATTACTCAGACTACCAACGCGCCGAGAGTCCACCTTCCAAAGCGGCCGTTTTCTCCAGGGAGACTGATCCCTGTGGCCTGGAGATCAATTACAGCAGGAGATCGCCAGCCACCACCAATGTTCCCTCTAAGCTATGGAGTCTTGTGAACAAAAATTCTTCTTTGTGAGCTACTAGCCTTAAAGTTGTGAGCAAGCGATTTGGCTACTGCATCAGTTAGTTTGCTCTGGAGCCATCCTTCCTGAGCTAAGACAAAAATGTGTGAGCTGGAGGCTAAAAAACTGTGAGCTGGCTCACACTAACTCAGCTTAGAGGGAACACTGGCCACCACCTGGAGGCTGGCAGCCCAGGCTGCCAAGAAGGCCCCAGAGGGAGGAGGAGGAGAGGCAGGGAGCCTCTCTCTCACACACACACCCCCCCAAACCAGAGCTTACAGATGACCAAAACCACTCCCTGACATCTCCATAGGGCCAATGCCTGGTGGTTCCACTGGTCATGGGGGGGGGGGGCATTTGGAATCAGTCACTGTTTCCCTGCTTGTTGATCACTTGACACTTTGGTGCTTTTCCCCCCTTGCTGGGTTTGATGATTTGATGTGGTGGTTTCAGTGGGGTTAATAAATGTTTCTTTCCATTTAAAGCATCTTGGTTTGAATTGTTTTTATTGGCTGCCTTGGGGGCCTCCTCGGATGTGGGGGGCCCTGGGAATGCAGTTGCCACCTGGGCTAGTGTATGGAGATGCTCTGGGCATGCACTTTCCGTTGCCCTTCATGGAACCATCTGTAACTGTGGAGTTACCATCTTGGACTTAGGACATCAGTTGCGAATTGAGCACAGTGGTTTTAATGTTGAATGTTTATTATGTTTTTATATGTTTTTATTCCGGCATGGCTGTGTCCTGCCCTTGTTAGCCGCCCTGAGCCCACCTGGGGAGGGCGGGATATAAATATGAATAAATAAACAAATAAATAAACAACAGCACAGAGCTGGTCTTGGACCTGTGCTCCCTGGAGCCCGTGTCTTCTGGGGGGGGGGGCCTCAGGAAATAATGCAAAGGGCTGCTCTGCTTTGCATGTTAGAATCTTCCCAAACAATTCTACCTCTGCGTCCCAGACCCTCAGTTCTCAGGTGCATTCAACCCAAAGACAGTCCCACTGCTTTATGTACGATTTTCTTCTGAAGGGGCATGCTTGGGGGTGCCACAATCAGAGGCGGAATGGGACATTTTCCCAAGAGGAGCCTTGACTTGTACAGAATGACCAGGTCCACCCAGTCCATCATCCTGTCTCACACAGTGGCCAGCCAGTTCCTTCAGAAGGCCAACATCAGGGTACAGAGGCCGAGGCCTTCCCCTGAGGTTGCCTCCGGGCACTGGCATTCAGAGGTTGACTGCCTCTGAATGTGGAGGTTCCCCTCAGTCACCCTAGCTAGTAGATTCAGGTGGGTGTTGGTCTGAAGCAACAGAACAAAATTCAAGTCCAATGGCACCTTTAAAACCAACAAAGTTTAACCAAAAGCTTATACCTAGAATAAAACTTTTCTGGTCTTAAAGGTGCTATTGGACTTGATGGCTAGTAGCCACTGATAGACTTATCCTTCATGAATTTATCTAATCCCCCTTTAAAGCAGTTTATTTCTGTGGCCATCACTACATCCGCTGGCAGCAAATTCCACATTTTAATCACTCTCTGTGTAAAGCAGCATTTCCTTTTGTCCATCCTGAACCTACTGCCCATCAGCTTCCTTGGATGCCCTTGAGGTCTAGTCTGTCTGTCTGTCTTCCTTCTCTCTCTCTCTCTCTCTCTTTCTTTTTTTTCTTTCTTTCTTTCTTTCCCAAAGTTAGAATGGAACAGAAAGGAGGGTAGGCTCGCCATCTCTGAGTTGGGAGATACCTGGAGATTTTTGGAGTGGAGCCTGAGCAGTGGGTGTTCTGACATACTTCCAGTGATGTCAGGGGTGTGTGGCATATGCAAATAAGTTATGCTAATGAGCTCCTGCACCTCTTTTTCTACGAAATGACCCCTGCACACAGGTATCCAACGTTGCTGGTCTCTGACCAGTATCTTTCAAAGTAGATTTGTTTGTTGTCTGTCTTCATCAGCCTACAATGGTGAAGCAGCCTACAAAACATCTCCTAGTAGTCGTCCCAGCAACCAGTATTCAGAGCTACACTGCCCCTGAACTTGGAGGAGAATTATGCAGCTATTAGCAAATATACAGAACATGGGGAGGTAGGATCTGATTTGCAAGAAAGTTTCTTGTCCACCTGGGAGACCAGAACAGCATAGATACAAGACTGCATTGCACCCCAAAATTAATTAGTTCGTTAATTTATGATAAACCATCAAAAGGAAAATCTATCTATGAGGCCATAAATGGCAAGTTCTTACTTTTAACCGATTTGTTATCTTTAACCCAGTTTTCCGTCAGAACTGGCTCCCACTATGGCTTACAGATAATCACTGGAAAATACAAATAATAATCACCTGTTCCATGGGGAAAGGCTCCAGAAAAATGCTATGTGTGTTATGATTTTACACGTGCTTGTTATACCTGATAGCATTTTATTAGTATCTGTTATGTCCTAATTCTCTTTCAAATGAAATGCAACATGGAGTTTTGTGATACTCACTGAACTTACTGTTCTTGTCTCTGAATACTGGCACTAATCAGTCAAGTGCATAGCTGGAAAGTTGTATTTGTTCATTACATTATGTTCTATGCTATTATTGCTGATCTTCATGGACCAATTGCATGATAGCCCTCATCGGAACCCCAGACTATATATATAAAATGCCTATTCAAAGTCTTTGTTGGGTGGAGTGCTAGGCAAGCTCTCGTCATTCTTCTGACAATTCTCTCTCTATTTTTTTAAATAAATATTTTTATTAATTTTTCCCAATCTCCCACACCCAACGAATGATAATATAACAGATAATTTACCCGTGATATTTACAAAGACAGGCAAACAGCCAAAAGTATTCCTTTTAACAATTTCCTAGTCACTTAATTACATTTCCATTCAAGTAATCTTTTCCATTTCTTATTATACATTTTATCATCTTTCCCTTTTAGTATATTTGATAGCTTATCCATCTCAGCGACCTCAAACCATTTTTCAATAACTTCCGATTTGTCTGGAATTTTCTCACTTTTCCAATATCTGGCATAACATATTCTAGCGGCAGTTGTACAGTATTCTAACAAGGTTTTCTCTTCTTTATCCCTTACATCAGAGATAATATTCAAAAGGAAGGTTTCTGGTTTTAATGGTAATACTAAACCCATAATTTCTGCTATCCAATTTCTGATTTCCTCCCAGTATCTCTTAGCTTTATTGCACGTCCACCACATATGGAAATATGTACCAGTATTTTGGTGGCATTTCCAACAAATATTTGTCCCATTACCATATTTCGCCAGTCTTGACGGGTGTAAATACCACCTATGTACAACTTTATATATGTTTTCTTTAAAGGTTGTGGCCCGTGTAATTTTTATATTTGTTTCCCAAATTTGCATCCATTTACGTTTATCTATTTCATATCCTAAATCTTTGCTCCATTTTTTCCAACTGGCCCATATCACATCTTCCTGTATCTTTTTCTCTAAAAAAATGTTATATATCTTTTTAATGAGTTGCGTTTCTGCTATAAGCCAAGCCTTATCCAAATCTGTTTCTTTTCCATAAAAGCCAATTTTCACATCTTCCTTAAACCTTGATTTCAATTGAAAGTTTTGTAACCAGGTCAACTCAATGTTCTGGGCTTTCAGGATATCAGATGTTTTCAGATTATTCCCACTATCTAACAAATTTTTATAGGAACAGTCTCCCCCATGAAGGTACAGCGATGGTATTTCTAGCGCTTCTATCGGTGCAACCCATCTAGGTATCTTCTTATAATGCTGGAATTTAATTTCCCGCCAAACTAATAACAGAGACCTTCTCAAAAAATGTCGTTCAAAAAATTTCTTTTCTTTATCATACCAGAGTGTAGCGTGCCACCCCTGTGGGAGGTCATAACCTTCCAGTCTTAAAAGCCTATTATTGGACAGAGTTGCCCATTCCCTTACCCAAACCAAAGCCGCAGCTTTATAGTATAGATCCCACACCGGCATAGCTAAACCTCCAGACTCCTTTCTACACTGCATTAGTTGTAGCCTAAATCTTGGCTTTTTCGCTTGCCAGACGAATGAGGAGCAACTCTTACTTAATTCTTTAAAAAACTCTTG